TTGTCTGTCCCTTCCACCCCTCTGAAACTTCGCTTACCCCCAGAATGCGTTTATACGCTAGTCATACTATTGCCACTACCCCAGCCATGGTCTTCGACTTATAAAATGCGCGGCAGACCCTCGAAGGCTGTCGGAATAGGGGTCCTACATCCCAGCGCTACATCGCGCATCCGTTTGTCGCGGAGAGGCCTAATGACTGCGACCGATACTCCACTGGCTTCGACCAGTGGAATCAATGCGTTCAGGGCAGTCAAGTATACGTTGTCAGTGGTGGCTTTCACTCCCGTTGTACTAGTGACCAGCGGCATGTAGAACGCCAGTCTAGAAGCGGGAGTCACGATGCCATAAGTCGATGACAATTTATGCCATTATTAACAGTCTAAAAGCGATATCACAGTGAAAAGATGGGTCGGTAGAAAGCGTGTCAGATCTTCGTCTTAGGAAAGGATCATAAACACGGTTTGCTAGGAGATGTCGCCAAAAGATAGGGTTTTCCCGTTGTTTCTTGTAAATGTCACTAGTTTGTATGCCGAGAAATTGTGGAGACAGAAGTCGTACTAACTTCGCCCTCTACCAGGGTCTAGAACGTCTGCTAGGTGGAAACAACTGACCGTCTGCACGCCCTCCTGCCAAGTAGGCTATGCAACTTGGTCTAGTTTTTATAGATGTAGGCAGCCAGCGTCTAATGACGAGACCACCTAAGTGAACTTGGGGCTCTTGTCCCGTGAGAAACCTGAATCCCTTAGACATAGTCAACATTTGGAATATTAACCCTATCTGGCCATTTCCTATGTTGACATCTGAGGCCCTAACAGAATTTGAGACCCCCCACTGTAGTAAGTTCATGTATTGGAAGGAAATGCGGTAGTTCTATTGGGGTCAAGTCCCAAGCTTCATCACCAGCCCCTCCTACGAATAACCAAAATACAGGTGGACGATGCCTCCCTAAGGAACATTCTGACAGTAATTTTGTACAAAAGCCCACACAAACGAATGCTCTAGGTCGCGTCCATGACTGTATCTGCTGCGACAATGGCAGTCCCTTGTCAATCACCAAATACCAAGCTGTGGTTCGTGCTTCTAAATGAGCTTTGCAATGACTGACTTCAAGCCAATGCTTACAGTAAATTAAAAACGACTTTTTATCCATTCTGAATGCTGCCTCGTTCGTAAAGTTGCTTTAGGTATGGGTCGATTCGAGACTTACGGTCTCTTACAATCCAAACGAAACGCATACATCATATTATTGTGCGCCTACTTGATTTCTGACAATGGGCTCACCACGATGTTTACCGCATGGAACCGATTCAGAGGAAGTTACCGAATGTTAGTTTTTATTGCCTTCCTTAATCGAAACTCGTCAGGTAGCCTTGATGATCGTTCGATTCATTTGTACATCCGCTTGGACTGTAGGTTTTCATGGTGACGGCGCTGGTGCGACTGCCCTTAGTGACTGAAAAGGCAGGAAAATGACATTTTACTATTCGTGCTCATATTTCGATTGCCTGGGATATCCGGCGTTGTCACTACTATGCCCACTTCGGGGAATACTCTTCAGGTAGGCGCTATCTGCTTAAGCTTCCACCGGCTGGATTCCAGTCCGAAAGAAATGCGTAAAGAAGACAACATCCATTAGTTTTATGTGTGCTTTTATTAGTAAAATCGACAGATCTGTGGGATTCCATCATTCGACATTGTGATAACAATGTTTAATTGGTGCCAGCAATCACTACTAGAGTAAAATGATTGAAAATCGGTAGCTGAAGGTTCAACAGGTCAACCGGGAGTGAGACAAAACGGTGGATGTCCAGATTCTGCAAAACAATTACGGAGACAGAATTCTTCTGGCCACTGCCAAGTAGCAGGCAGATTCGGTCATGACTGCTGGGGAGTCACGTAATGAAAAGCAGTCAATATGTAAAACAGACGTATTGAAAAACACGGGGTGGATTTGGATCCCCATTTCTGTTATTCAACCGGTGGTCAGGCAGCCAAGTGTCATTAAGATGCGGATAGACAACGGCATAAATGAAATGAGTGACTAATAAATCCATCAGTTCCTTCGGTAGAGGTGAATAAGTTAAGAATTCAAGAGCAAAAGTTCGGTCCAGAGTCAAGAGTGGAGACTATTCGGCCGCCTCTCAAATTTCTTAGCTGATATTTCATTTCATTCCATAGAAGACGCACGCCCATGTTACTGCTTGTCTTACAATAAAACGATAATTACGAACATTTCTCATTCTGACTCGATAGAGTCTATACTGCGAACTTTC